TACTTGTCATAAATATGAAATCAAAAGCATTCTCTACATTTAGGTACCTTTAAGGATCCCACCTCGTTGTTCCGCTCGCAATATTTGCCCGTTACTTTCAGTAAACATCCCAACATCTCGAATATAACTCTCACAAGAAAATTAAGCTTGTTTAATTACAGAACTCGTGTGTACCTACCCTCCGGTGTTCGGTGTTTCACAATCGTGTTTGAATAATTTTAATTAATTGATGTTGAAAATTTTATAATTATTCACTACCCTGATACATTTTTTTAACTAAGATGCACTAAATAATTTTTATTAAGTTAAAAAATATATTCAATTAAAAACTTTTTTCATTGTTATAAAATATTAAAATTAAATAGGACAAGTAATAATTGTATTTCATATATCATTAAGAACTGTGTGTAAGTGTAACTTCAATCATTGCTTAAGTGTAAATAGTAGGCCATAAAAAATAATAAAAAGAAAAAAATCAACCGACTTTCAATAATCGTAATAAACAGAAAAATGAGAAACAATACCATAAATTTTGATCACTCAATTAAATCGAAAACAAAAAGTTGATATACCACCAGATGTTTTTAAGAAAAATATCATGTTAGAGAAAAATAGATTTTCTGATAGTGCTGTTTTGCTTCTTACTAAAGACACGACACCGACCTCAAAAAACAATGTTGGTATATCCTTTATGTGTTTCAATTTTATTCAAGATTAGCTGTAACCCGTGGCTTCGCTCTTGTGGTCTGAGGGTACTGTGTGTACACTGGTCTGCTATACTGGAGTCTTAAGCTAATCTGAATTAAAATACGGCCAGTGAGCATTCACCTTTATATTATCATCATTAGCTTATCAACGTCCCCATTGCTGGGGCATATCCAATAGATGGAACCAATTATAGAAAATCTACCGGTGTTTCTGTGTATAACGCACATATCTTCATAGAATAGTCCTGTTTCTCTTCTTTCCATTTTATCGCACAGTTGGATCGACACACTTTGCAAAAAATAAAAACAAATGTTTAATTTGAAAATGATAGTCCTTTTAATGAAGTTCTTTAATAATAACGTTTCATTTCTTTTAAGTTCATTTATAAATTTACCGAAGCCGGTTAATAACGTACACAGAAACAAGTTAACTGACGGCCTCATCAATTTTAGCTCCTTTTATAAGTCGGTTAATTTTTTACTCCTTTTATAAGTAGCTTATATTTTAATGGTTTATATCTTCAAAACTACTAAATCGATTTTGATGAAACTTGTAATGTACCCTAAGTTGAAAGCTTAACAATTACACAAAAATAAAACATTACAATCTAAGGTCTAGTTTGTCAGATATCCGTGGACGCATACAAACATCTTAAAAACTTTATACACATGTTCAGAGCCAATACAATACAGACCAACAATAGTTTATGTTACCTAATGTAAAAGCTGAACTTACAGAAATTAAACTTAATGATGAAAAGCTCGAGTTGGTTGATTCAACAATCTTCTTGGGTGTAACGCTGGATTCTAAATTGCAATGGCATTCTCACATTTCATTATTGGCAGGAAAACTATTAGGCAACCTACAGATGTAGATACCGCTACGACAGTATACTTTAGTTATTTCCATAGCGTTATGTCATATGGCATTCTAATGTAGGGCATGGCTGTAGATATAAAGTCTATATTTATTTTACAAAAAAGAGCAGTAAGGGCTATTTATCAATTGGGTTCAAGAACATCACTTAGAGATAAATTCAAAGAAATTAGGATATTAACAGTGGCCTCCCAATTAATATACAATTGTATAATTTATGTTAGAAACAATATTAACAATTATATTAAACATAGTCATGTACACAATTTTAATACTAGAAACAAAGATAAACTTGTTTTGCCGTCATGCAGGCTAAAGAAGGTTCTATCGTAATTTATGGGTCAAGGTGTACACTACTATAACAAAATTCCTATGGAAATTTTAAATTTACCATTACCTTAGTTTAAAACCCATATTAAGAATTGTCTACTCAGTAAAGGATATTATACTGTTAATGAATATTTAAACGACAAAACTGCTTGGAGTTAAATATGGCTAATTTTTCATATATATTAAATTGTTTATCGGTGAGCTTCTTTCGCTACACATGTGATTGGATTGACAAAAATACTGTTTTAATTTTATATTGTGTAATATTGTAATGGAAAGTGACTTCAAATTTTAATGAAGACATTTTTCAATCTTGACGCTCTGTATGAAATAAAACAGGGAGAAAAAAGCAGCCCTTGCCGAGTTTCTTGCCGGTTCTTCTCGGTACAAGGTTTTCACACTTCTCGACTTTCACAAGTGTTTGTAACAGCCTAGACTGAATAAATAATTTTGAATTGATTTGAACATATTTGAAAATTACTCGATTCCAATGAAATTACATACATATACCTCGAATTGAGATCCTTTTTCTGAAGAAGGCTTCTAAGGACTTTTAACACGTACTTTTAAAATATTAATTGACCATTAAAATCTAAGCCGCTCCTTAGGATAAACAAAACACAGTTTTGTAATTAATTATTCACGGTCATTAATAAAAAGTACAAGGCGAGCAGAACTCAACTGGAGCGAACTTCGTATCTGCTTCCGCTAACTACTAAAAGATGGTAATGAAGCGAACTCACCTTTGCATATCTATCTCCTTCCATTGCACAGTTAATATATAATCGCCGTCCTTCTCTCTAGGGCTGTCACAGCCACAACGGCCGATCCAGACGGTGACAAGAAATTAATTAGGGGAAGCTCGGAAAATAATGGTGTGCCGTGATTTTTAAATGAAATTTATTTTCTCCACTTCATTTATTTCGCGGCGACATGACACTTCGGAAATTATTAGACTTTAGAAGGGATTCCGTTCCTGTAGGTAAGGTTTCAGTTTGTTTACCTTTCCTGCGTTGTAATTTATTTTTTAAGGCGTCAAATATTTTTCCCTATTTGTATTTCTAATTCAATAGATTTTTTGTTGCAACTTAATGGATTTTTCTGAATAAGGTTTTGTGTTGTGAAATAGATTATCATATACACGATTCTATATTGAAATACATACCTTACTACGTGTTCAATACTTTGTATAAAGAAGTAATGATTTTTATATAATTAAAAGTCTTAAAAAGCTTTAAAGAAGGTGATATTTACGAGAAAATTTCAATCATCATATAAAATAAAATTAATACATAACGATAATATTCTTCCGTAAAAGCTCCAAGTAATTTTTCATTCAAAAATAGGACTTATTTCAAAGATCGAAACGCTAAAAGCGATAATTTATCTTCAAGAAACACGTACACGTGTTTGAGTTGTGAGCGATGCCCAAATTTTTGTTAACCGACCGTCAGACCGATGACAGAGGACAATTTTTCTAATGCCACTTACAAAAATATTATACAGCCAACATCGGCCTTGTCTTAAATAACGCAGAAGTCAATTTGAAAATTATAGTGACTTCATAACTTTGTCAGTTTTGAATAATATTTTGCTTGCGGTTGAACCATAGAGTTTGATAGGTGCTGTCATAGCCTCTATTAATTTTCCGTTACAATGATTGGTTGCTGTGAAAACAAAAGAATGAACGTTCATATGTAAACAAAAAATTAAGGTGATGTAAAGTTTGTAGGAATAAGTTATATATTAAATTTTAAGGGCAATTCGATTTTGTTTGCGAGTTCCTTGGAAAACTATAAGGACATATTATGAATGAACTCTAAAAATATACAGAAAGAATGTCACTAAAAAGTTTAAACTAATGGCTGGTTACCATACCAACAAAAAGAAAAACAGACGCCAGGTGACAACCATAGTACATATAGGAAAGTTACTAAATATGTTATGTAATTATTTATGTTTGAGAACTTTTACTGTGTTGTTTTTATTGCCCCGGTCGATTAAATCAAAATTTACCATAATGAATAACTACTTCTGTTCTATTATGACACTTTGTTAAATTAATAAAATAGAATTCATAAATAAAAATAAAAAAAACTAATTTGGTACTGCGACGCTACTTGTTCAAAATTATTAATAATAATTATAATAACAAAAGTGATATTTTTTATTATTTATCATAGTATTCAACTATGAGTAACAATACTCTTAATGATTGATCATTAATAATAATAATAAGGTTTTATTTCTCTTCACTAACTTTTACAACTTATAAAATGCAATACATATTTTTTACTGACCTATTAACGTAGAGCTTAAACTATTGCAGTTCTATTTTCTAATGATATCAGAGTCAGATGATATCAGAATAAAAGTGAAGATAATACAGATGCCATTTTGTGGAACTTTATGCTGTGACAGTTCTATGATCGACGCCGATTTCGAGATTATTTTTATTATATAATAGGATAGCGGGATAGATTGGGAGCTTTGTGACAATATTATTTGTATTAACATAGATGATCGTTAAGTAAGCATTTTGAAAAGTCATACCTAAAGGGGTTAAATATGAAATTGAATATCATGTAATCCGCGGGCGAACTGCTAATATTTTTGTAAAATATTTTATATTGTTTCAAATTATTTACGTATATTAAATAGGTAGAAACACTTTTAGGTATTTTCTCAGATTTTTATTTAAATCTGTTCTTTATTTATTAAATGATATTTGTGTCCATAAGTTACTTACAAATTTAAACATTCTATAGACTTATCGTGCTACAATATTATGTCAATTTTCCCATAAGCTTCATGTGTTACATGCATAGACTCAATTAACGTGACTAACAAAAGTAATTTATTAAATGTTATGCCAATGGTTTGACTAAATCACTTTGTTTCAACTTCACTATTTCGTGATTTTATGATAATATCGATGTACCATAACACGCAAAGCGCTTTTGTGTTATGCTCAAGCTTTATTACAAATTTAATAGTCCATATGTTGAGTGTCACGTTACAGTACCACAGGGCAGATTGCTGGGACCGACACCTTTAATAGGATATAAAATAACTGGTTGTATAAAATGTTTTTTGAGCGCAAATTTCAAACCCAAATCATTCAGGATGATTTACGAAATAAATCCTCGGTAACTTATACCAGGAAAAAGAAAACAGTGATAGGAAAAGTCAAGGACAAAGCTAAGAATTACATGGTGTTGTTTTTGGAAACTTCTTCCATACATGGTTTGAATCATTTGGTGGCTAGTGGAAGGCATCCTTTTGAAGTGTGAGTTCTATGGTCATTGTGTATTACATGTCACTGAAAAAAATGTTTGATGATGTTGACTAGAGTGGCGTTGTGTCTGACTTAAACCGGTCATTATAGTCATCATTATGGTCCTTTACCACGAAGCCCCACGTTGGGCGCCAATGAAACACGATCGCTCTAAGGATAGGTCAAATGTTGTAGTGTTAATCTAATGTTACAAATTTGAATTGTGAATATTTCGAATATGTTTTTACATTATATTTCGTATTATTATTATATTATAAAATATTGCTTTTATCACATTTCAAATCGTGATGTTTTTATATTTAATTCTGACAGAGATTTTATTGCGACTGACAATAAAATATTCAAATGACAATTTTCATGTCTATTTTTTTATTTTAATTTATAATGAAATAGTAGATTACATAAAGAATGGGAATCATACATGACAAAAATTGAATATAGAGAATCTAGTGACGAAATAAAGAAGGCAGATACAAGGATACCACAAATGTGCTTAAGTGGTGCGAAAATAAAGAATAAAAGCCTTTAATAAATAATTTATAAGCGTCGTAAAGTTATACAGTGTTTTGTCTTTGTGACTAAACAGCTGTTACATCTTTCTTATTAATAAGGGTATATGTCTCTAATTGTTGAATTTATCAATGATAATTATCATACTAGATTTCATGTAGTCGATTCAAATTATTTAATAATTGTGTCTTATTCTTTCATGTTTTTTTTGAAAATATTAATATCGATAAACGAATTTACTGACAGGGTTCTCTGGTTGATCATAGTGGCATTATCAGTATTTGGTTCAATATATTTATCGCGGACGACATGGATTCGCTACCAGTTTTCACCAACTGTCGTCTCCATGGATCGTGACATGTTCGCTTGGAACACTACGTTCCCCTGCGTCACCATATGTCCGAACAACCAGCTGGACGACAACAAACTTAAACTTTATTTGAAGTAAGTTATATCGATCGTCGTTTACTGCCAAAATTTTGTGAAATAATCATTAATTGTATCAGTTTATATTGAGTAGTAGTAAGCCTTTGCTAAATGGATACCATTGTCTTTTTTGTCTGTTTTAGAAATTCCAAGGAACCCGATAAAGAAAAACTTGGGGATTTTATTAACGCCCTTGCCAATGTCACCTACGACAACTTCGATACCATGCCAGACTACGATGGTATACCATCTGATAAGTTTATGGAGCTTCTTCTTAATTTATCATCTCCTTTTAAGCCGACTCTTACTATTGGAGCTTCCGGAATTCTCCTAGACATCATACCAACTATAACGGAGATGGGGCTTTGTTATGCTGTGAACTCTAAAGTGGCCATATATAATTCTCCTTCGTGAGTTGAATCGTGTTTTTATTGTTTAATCTCTCTCCATATAACGTTATGAGATTATAAAGTGATGTAATATTTTATTCACATTTCTTATCGTATATTTAGATAGACTGATAAAGAATCTGCAATCAAAATTATTAATTATCATTTAAATATTCATATGAAATAAAAATTTCTTGGATTTTCGTTATGTTGTAATCAATATACGCCGCTTTACAGATACAGGGATGCTAATAGATGGGATATAATAGAAAATCAAAACAACACATTCTTCGTCCACCCACTAGATGGGGAGGTGTTTGCACAAGTTATCAATATTTCTAATGCTTACGATGTAAGTACTTACCAATATACTATCACTGCAGCTCTATAGCTATTTTAATAAATCACTTAAAGACATAATAATTTAGAATTTATTAAAAAAAAAATATAACATTATTTTTTAATCGGATAAAGTTTATTATGATGTCAATAACTCTATAAATTATAAATATTGACATTTTATGTAAAATTGAGTTGTTTATTTTAATTGACATTAAGAAAGTATATTTGAACGTATAATGTACTTAAATATTTGTATGTTGACTAGATCAGCAAAATGTGCGTGCTTTCTCTGATCAAAAATATTGGAACCACTTCCTTGCAAATAAACATTTTAACTATAACTCATATGTCTGTTAATTACATCAAAAGTATCTTACTTCCTTAATACGTTAACAAGAGATTGTGTGCTCTAAATTGTTTCATTCTTTTGTTTAGGCTTATATCCACGGCCCTTCTGAAGTTCCAGACATATCCAGCAAGATGCAACATTCCGCTAAAGATTTCTACCATAAGCTGTTTGTTACTGCCGTTACAGTTTACACCACTCCAGAAGCTGCAAAGTTAGTACTCATTAAAATAACAAAAAAAAGTATTGCAGCAGCAATTGAGATTATGGTAGAATATAAACGTTGACATGTTCCCAGATAGGGTTTGGCAGATATTATTTAGCTACTAACAAGTAACTTGATCTGAATAACAAACTTATATCTTGGTGCAGGCTCAGCGTCGCCCAGCGACGGTGTCGGTTTCCCGAAGAGAACATTTTGCAGCACAATTCTGTGTACACATACACCATGTGCCGCATGGAGTGCCGCATCAGACTTTGCTTGAAGTACTGTCAGTGTATCCCGCATTTCTATAGGAAAATTGGTAATAATATCATTTAAAATACACATTGTTCAGATATCGCTATGGAATGCCTTCTGTAACGATTTTGGTAAGTTATTTTGAAGATAAGTACAAGTATAATTGCCAAATATGTCTTTTCTCTTTAACCAATTTCAAAGAAAGAGTAATTAAAGTAAGTTGTCTCATAAAATTAGAAACAATGGTAAAACAATCAATAAATTTGAAATAGTGAAATATATTTTTCCTAGATGAATGAGTGTGGTGCAAATAAATAATTTCCTATCTCTCTACAAGTGAAGTTGATGGTTTGTAAACGTTTGTTTGTTCTTTAATGTTTTTATTTAAAAAATAATCCTAGATATTTTCTATTAATGGGAAGTGTTAGAAAAAATTTAAACGCTGAAAACTATTCCATCCAACAAAATTGCGATCAAACTACTTTGCGATTTAAATTCCGCAGGAGACGAGAAAATATGCGATGTAGCTGGACTTCACTGCCTCAGCAAACATAAAGGTAAAGTTACTCATTTAAATAAGAAAGTTACTTGTTTTGATTATTAATAAAAAATATTTTTACGCTTTATTTACATAATTCAAACTGTACAAAGTCAGATGATGGTGTGTGACTGGAGTCTAATGTAGGGCGGCCTTTATTTCAGGACTTTAGGTCCCACCCTGATTACTCTTATTAGCTTAACTATTTTTACATTTTACAAGGCAACAATTCCTACTTTTATCAAAAGAACTTAAATCAGAATCTGTTTAATATATATACGTATAATTATTATGAAAGATATAGATATTTTATACATCTTTTTGTATTCTATTTTTTTATAATGTCATATTTGGTCAATTTTGCATTCTATACTGATCGTGGGTTCGAGTTCCATCTCTGAGTGCCAGGGACAAAGTGGATTATTTAAGCATGTTACATTAGGATTTTTTTTATGATGTATTTAATTCTCGTGGTATTATATGATAGACATAAAAGGACAAAGAAGAGAAGTGAAATAATGATAACAGAATATAAATTATGCAACTAATAAGGAATAAAAAAATACGTGAGTACGCAGGTTAACTTATGGTGTTTGATGTATGTATGGATTCGTTATTGAATAAGATATGGATTACGATATCTTATTCAATAATAGAAAAACAATATCAAGTAGCTCGGTGGCGTAGAGGATAAGCGCCGCGGCCCGCGATCGTTGTTGTTAAGCAACTTTCGCAAGGATCGGTCACGGGATGGGTGACCAAAAAATTATTATCTCGAGCTAGGTACTTCGTGCTTCGGAAGGCACGTTAAGCCGTTGGTCCCGGCTGAATTTGCAGTCGTTAATACCCTCCAATCCGCATTGGGCCAGCGTGGAGGGTCATGACCCATCCTCCTTAACCATCCATAAGGAAGGCCTGAGCCCCTGCAGTGGGGACGTAATAGGGCTGATGAATATCAAGTGTTCTCCGAAACTTCTAGACCGATTTGAAAAATACTTATAATATTATTTTTCCCTAGGGGCTAATATTCTTTAGGGGGTCTCGTTGATTTTATTGAAATCGGATCAGTATTTCTGATACTTTATTTTTCCATTTCTATATATTTTCACAGATATACTATACAAACTGCGTGACAAAGACGGCAAGAAAATCCACTGCGACTGTCTGCCGATATGTGACGACGTGAACTATGTCATACAATCAAGTGTAAGTGTAAGATGTTAAATTTTATTGTTTGTGGCTCCGAAACTACTGAAAAAATACTTTTATCAACGGGAAGCTATACCATACACGGGTGACATAAGCGGGGTACAACGCGGAAAAACACCTTGTGTCTTTACAAAAACCAAACTGGAATTTAAACGATAATAACTATTAATTTTTAGAAAGCAGATCCCGAGATAGGGGAGTTATCATCTATTTGGATTATTAAATTCGTCATGGAGATTAAATAGATATAGCGCGTTTATATTTAATTGACGTTTCGGACCTTCACAGGTTCCATGTTCATTTGGACTAAGTGCTTGATTGTCTGTAAAGGATCCAAAACATTTAAAATGAAATCAAATATAAACGTTATATCCATTTAAAAGACATAGTATTTGTTTAAATAAAGTAAGTTACAGTAAGCAGTTTAATTTATTTAAGCCTCGACTCTGTTTGGATCACCAACTTACCTACATTAACGACCAGTTTCTGACAACAAATCTCAACTGATTGGTCTCAATAACTTAAGTTTTCTACGTTTCACAAGTCCAAAAGTCATACATAACTTTATAAAATTGCTATCAATAGCTCATTTAAAATAAAACTAAGACCAGTAACGAAAACCTGATTAACGTTTAAGTTTGAGACGTTCGTAGCTTTAAACGCTCAATTCAGAAACCGGGTGATATCAGCATAACACATATCAGCGTAATCTAGGATAGGAAAACTTATAGATTGAACTAGGAGGACCTTGGATGGGTGGAAAATTCTTGAAGTAATAAATAACTATATGGACATAAATAAATAAACAGAAGTTAAATAATTGAGTGGTAACGACTAACTGACGAATCATATATTGGATGAAATTAGTTTTAGTATATCCTAATGAAGTTCAATTATAAATACCTAGAGATATTTTACAATCTGGTTGGTATTGCTTTTCAAAATCCTTGTTTCCCTTCTAACAAATTTTGTTTTTAGGTAATTCAAAAATGGTTCCTAGGTACTAATTTCCAATGGGGAATCGTTACCTATCCTAGGATGAGATACAGAAGAGATATTATATTTGGATTTACAGATGTTTTGGGTAAGTTTTTAAATAGAACTCGGATTAATTTCAGGAAAGGCTAGCGCGCTCGCTCTGCGATGGCAGGTCGTAGGATGGGTGAACAAAAATTATATTATCTCGAACTCCTCCGTGCCTCAGAAGGCATGTTAAGCTGTTGGTTCTGTCTGCATCTGCAGTGGTTACCCAACAATCCGTGTTGTTGATCAAGGCTCATTCTCTTTATTCGATTCGATTGCATTTTTAAAGCAGTCTATTTTATATTAACAAGTGAATTTTAAAATTACATACAAAATTGGTAATGTTGCCACAATTTGCAAGAGTTTGTCTTGAGACTCCAATATGCATTGATTCTTGCCTAAAATCACTTAAAATGCTTAACTTGTGGAACATCTAATATTATCTAGACTAGGAGAAAGCATGATAATGTATCTAGAAATTTCATGCGATGATCACGTTACAGTGGCTGTTGGTGGAATGGCAGGGCTGTTCCTCGGATGCAGCGTGCTCAGCTTCATGGAGATTATCTACTTTTTAACCCTGAGGCTCATCTGTTACACTCACGCGGCCGTTACTAAATAAATTGGTGAATTGCACTCAGAAACATTACCATTTTTATCACTATTCGAATATTTATGTAGAAAATTTTCGGCAGAAATAAGTACACTTACAAATTGTAGCTAAATAGGTTTTTCACAAATAGAATTACCTACGTATTCAATTTACTGACATTTTGCAAAATAGTGACTCAGTATGATAATATTTGTGTTCTTATATATAGTCTAAACAATTTGTGTTGAATTGTCATCTATTTGCCAAGTTTCAATATTAGTTACTTGGATATAAATGACCCCATAGTTCCAGGTAAATTAAATTTGGGTTAGCATAATTGCCGCCGACGTACATCGGCTCGTATTAACACATCGTAAATTCAACCCTCAAGCACCTTGCTAATAATTAAGATCGTTGCGACCCTTTTGAATTGTTTGCCCAATTTAACAATCCACGTACAATTGCGGACGGGTTATGGGACAAAGGTAAGCGATATTTTGTACCCGCACACTTGAGGGTTAAGTGATTAAGAGAGGTTGACAGAATGGGTAATAGTTACATCATTTGGTCATTTCTAATGGCGTTAAAACTAGTATTGTGTAACAGACAATTTGTTGGTATTAAGTATTAAGTGCCTATCTACAGACTTTAGAGTGGGCGCTTTCTAAATGTTCTGAATATATAGCACTGTGTTTTAGTTTTCCGAGATTTATCTATAAGCATTTGAAAAGAAAATCCAGAAGAGTTTTCAATTTTTCTATAATATAATCGTTTCTATTGAGAAACTAAAATGGTACTTCAGTTTAGTCTAGATCAACATAATTTTAGACCAATGAACAATCTGAATGATTTTAATAGAAACATCAAGGTGATTATAAAAATGCAACATTTAGTTTGTTTAAAACGATATTATCGAATTCTGGTTATTTTTAAAAGTGACTTCAAAACTAGCAACATACATAAAGATACCGGTAACATTTAAAATGCAGAAGATGGTCGTTTACCTGAATATCTTATGTTGACGTCATCATTGTCATAATTTCAGTTATCGATTGTTCAATGCTGAACATTGGCCTACATTATTTGCAAGTGATAATCCAGTGTTATTATCGTCCTACGTTATTAGGATATTAATGAAATGTGCTGATCTCTACCTAGACCCAAAGTTTTATTTTTATAAATAGAAAGCTGAAATATATTTGGCATTAAATACAAAGTAACATAATATTATTCAGCGAAATAAAAAAAAAGTATAAGTTACACCAAACGAGCCTCTCCTCAGTATGAGCCGAAGCAACATTTGCTACGGCATTGATTTTCAGCAGATGCCCCGAGACTTAAGGTCCGACAAGACACTCAACAATTATAATTATTAACACTTATATTAACATTCATAAATTACTTACTCCATTACAATTATTTAATTAAAACTACAATTAAAATAACCTTTTAGTATAACAAATAAATTCACACGAATTTCTAGCATGGGTTTGGAAATGGCGTCAAGCTGCGACACTTCAGAGAAAGCAATCACTATTCTGTAAAATTGTACATATTCTTTTGTGTAACCAATAAATTACTTTTGTACTTAAACTTAAAATTGTAACCCGTCTTACCGTTCAGTTCTTTTTAATACGTGGACGTTCCTTATCTTTCTCCCTCTCTCTCAAAATCAGTAACTTCATCCTGATTTCTAATCTCTGTCACTTACTGCAGCGGGTTATTTCGGCAAGTTTTATATCGCGATTCGCAGTTTATTTTGCAGACGTACTTTCGAGATCTTAATTAGTATCGTCAAATTAATTTGAAATTTAATGAAATTGACCACGATTATTGAATGTCAATTTAAACAGAACAGTGCCTGCTTTGATTCCATCGTATTTATTGTTCTGTTAAAATTTAGTCTTAGCGATATAAACTCGAATGGAGTATGATAGTGGAAATAATCAAATCCCCATTTTCATTACATTTTATTCACATCGTAAACCTTCGTATCACTTTCGTATGATTAAGTCGAATAAACCAAGCGGTTGAAATTCAAAATTTACAATAGTGCTAACCCTCACTCGATAAAACCTTACTCATTATCAACTTATCTCAACTCGCAAGGCGCCTCGACACGTCGTCATAAAAGGCTTAGTTTGCCGTATTCAAGGCATGGGGAGGAGAGGAAATGTTAAAGATTATTGTTTGGAGTTAGCGACGATGCCGAGGTGTAATTTAATTCTAAGACGCTCTACCTCTTTGTTAACAATGTGTGACGCAAGGTGTAGGCAGTTGTCGATATCGATATGTTCCGATAAAAAATATAAAACACCACAATTATATTATTATCGATGAAAGTAAAATGAATTAAATAAAACTTCATCCTATTTTTTTTACGAATAACTATGGTATTTTTCCATGCTATAATTATGCGATAACATCTCCTAACTGATATGATATGATAGCACGGGTTCAATTATAATTTTTGCTATCGAAAATGTTTAATTTTAAGTAACGATAAAACACTTTTCCACAGTATTTGGTTTAGTTTTGCTTTAGTTAAGTAAGTAAGTAGTAAGTAGGTCAGCATTTGTATATGTATATGCCAGTCCTTATTTCATCGATAATTCAGACAAAATCGATCCCCATTCCTATCAAAGGTGGTGTTTATTAATCCTATACGTTAAGATTTTAATTGCGGGCATCAAGTGGCTTTGTGAAGTCGCGGTAGGCTGTGTTTTATCTGAACAACCGCCGTGCATAATTTGCTTTGTTAATTTTGGGGTGGTACGTGTGTTTCCCTGTTGATGTCATACCTGTCTCTGTTTATATTAACTCGTACTTCATGGATTTCTTAATAGTTTTGATATTTATGTGTAATGATTATGTACACGATTTGATAAAGGAAATAAAATCATGTTTTAGAAATCTTTGAACTGTATTTATTTTAGCTTTTATTTTCATCCACTCGTTATATGTAAGCGATTACTTACATGAAAATAATCTCTAAAGGCAATAAAACATTAATACTATGGCAAAATTCACCTCACTTTTCATATAAATTCGACGGGGAACATCACATACAAAGCCTTTAACATCCTCCCCAGAGGTTCACATCATAAATCTACCTTTCCCCATAAAGTACCACCTCTTCATTCGTCATCTCTTTATCAGCAAAAAGGCAATATCCACCTTCGGAAAAATGAGCCGAAGCACCCTTGCCCTTAAAACAACTATTTATCTGCGGGATCCCATAAATCAACCTTATTTTTTTATCTGGGAATCTCGAAGGTAAATAATATGTGCTTTTTTGGGTATTATGTGGGGGTGAAATGTAAGCAGTAATTTAGTTTGCTTCAAAAGATATGATGTAACATGCTACGGGAGATTCAATCTTTAAGTCATTGAGGGGGTCATCTAGTTATGAATTTTTAAATGAATTATAATGGACAAAATACATATTTCGTTTGTCACATCCTGTCAAAACAAAATTTTAATTATAAATTGAATATATATTGTAATGCTATGGCATTTACTATATTTACTATATACCAACTAA